TCACAAAACAGGGATGCATCAATTTATTTTATGGAAATCAAATTCAACCTAATCCCACCTCATAACACTTTAATACTGGCTCACAATTTCAACAAGCACAGCTGTATCTATTTCCTCTCTTCCCATCACATGGTTGTGCAAAATGGCCTGTATTCAAGGAAGATGTTCAATGACACTGGTTTCTTTCTTTTTTTTTTTTTTCCTTTTTGTCTTTTTTACTGACCGGTAACGGGATCGCAACCCTCGGTGTCACGCCCGCTCCACGCTCAGCCAGTGAGCAGGAACCAGTCTCCACATGGGATCCAAACCCTCGGCAAGAGTGCCGCCGCACTCCCAAGCGGCGCACTCTCCAGTGTGCCACTGGGCCAGCCCAAATGACACTGGTTTCTAACCTACACCAGTCACCACTGACAAGCTCAGTGTCTATAACCACTAGCTAGGGATCGAGGACCTTAGCTCAGGCAGGGATCCTGCTTCTTGTACCCAGCTGCCCTAAGTGCACCATATAGCCTTTCCATTTGAAGTTGGAGGCTGCCATCCACCACATATTCAAGTCCAAAACCCTTGAGTGTCCTCCCTCTGATTCTTAACACCCTGCTGAAATACTTAACCTTCCCACATGAGTCCTGGAATCATTTGGGGCCATTATGTCAATTTCTTTATACACTTTGAATATTAAAATCAGGAAGGGTAATTTTTTCATGAACTTCCACAATAACCCCTTGCAAATAATATCCCTGCCCAAGTTCATCTTACACTAGATAACAAAATCCCTTTTCAGAAGGGAAGAAAAAATATACTATGAAAGAGGTCATACTATTATAATAAATAAATTACTCATATTATTATAATAAATAAATTATGTTTTCATTTCAGCATCAATAGACTGATAATTGTTACAGTTCTCAAACCTTGAATGTAGGGCCAAGCTTACCTTTTCAACATGGTTCCAAAATGCTGTAAAGACAAAAAGAGAAAGTCTTAGTATTCATCACAATATTCATAGTTGGAGACTTCACTTCTTTGATTTTTAAGGATGATTATTGCAATTGGTGTCAAAGGCAAGGCAATTCAGGAAATATATTGCAGGCATCCCCCAATTTCTAAATATCAAGATATGTCCTAATACAAATACAAATACCTTCCAAGAAACTTTCCTGTTGCAGGTTTTCAGTAACTGGCCAGGCACAGAAAGAGAAATACAGCATATCCTCACTCATAAATAGGATAGAGAGAGAGAGAGAGAGAGGGAAAGAAGAAAGAAAGAGGAGGGAGGGAGGAAAGGAGGAAGGAAGGGAAGAAAAGAGAAAAGGAAGAAAGAAACTGAGTGAATTTTTAGAGGAAAATTTCTCCTGGGGTAGTTCTTCCTATTTTCTAGAAAAAAAAAAAGTTTGGTTTTTTTTTTCTCTTGAATGAGGTCCTTATTTTTAAGCTGGCTTTTCCCACACAGACCTCATTTGCTTCAGGAGCTTTTGCTGCAGAAGAACAGTGAATAAAAGCAAAAAGGAAACCTATATTAAAGTTTTAGATCTCTTCACTTTCCATGAGTTGTTGAAAAATCTCTTTTCTTTCCTTTTCCAGTCTCTCTAAATAATGTTGCTCTTCCCCATAGAGCAATTGGCACACTTTCCAGTACTCAGCATGGATCATCTTCCTCAGTAGATTCGCGTAATCATGAAAAAACAATGGAGTAACCAGAACACGTAGTCAGGCTGTTCTCATTTATGTCTTATTATGTATTGTTTTGTCTCCTAACACTTACTAGCTTATTATGATCATTGAACAAGAAATTCGTGGACTTCTTTTCTTTTTTTCTCTCTCTCTCTCATTTCCCCTCTTTTCTATTTATTTGCACCAGATGTCAAAATTATGCCTCCAACACAGAAATAAGTATATTTTTCTTAAATATTCACATTTTATTCAAAAGAGTAATGGTTGATTTAATAATTATCAGATATCAAAACTTCCTTGTTACTTGTCTCTTTTACCCTCAACTGTCTGACCTACAGACTGTCTCCTCATTCTCAGGAAAAAGCAGTAGACAACACTTCATAGGATAAGATAAGGGCTTTCTAAAATTTTTACTTTTAGCAGGTCCACAAACTACGTGCTAAGCACTACCTCTCTGTGCCTAGAGGCCTCTATGAGCCCAGCTTGTCTGTCTTGGTCCAAGGCTTCTCACTACGCTTATTAGCTGACTTCCTCATGCTCCTTAGGGACATTGACCTAGAGGGTAACCACCTTCCATTATTAATTCCCTCCATCTCATTTTCTCACTTTTTCTTGCTTTCTCTTTTATTTTCTTTAAATTTTTAGAGTTGGCTTATTTATTCCCATTATTTAAAAAAAAAAAAAACTAAACATCCCCCGTTCACCCAAGATCTTCACTTGTTTTTCGTGCCATCACTTTTGCCCCTAACAAAGAATATTGCACGACGGCACGAGTATGTTCACTGTACTCATTTGTGAAACTCTAACTCTTCATGAGCTCAATGAAGTCTCTTCCATTCCCACCACCCAACTGAAACTACATTCTTCATCACAGTAAGAACACACTTTGAACTACATTCTTTCTCTCACCAAAAACTTCCTTTACTAAACACTTATATTTTTATTCCTACTATTACTAATCCTTCCTTATATAAAAATCCTTTTATAAAATTCATAATCTTGACTTGAAAAATCCTCTCTCTCCTGTTTTCCTTCTGTCAACTTGTTTGTACCAGTTCCTCTTGCCCAGCCTGACTCATTACCACAGGGATTCTAAAAGGTATTTTATTTTCACCTAAAAGGTTTATTCTTTTCTAAAAACTCTCACTTTACACTACCATATATTCCAATACCTAGAATATGCTGACAGTTAGGAAAATCTGTGTCCAGAACAAATTGTTCCCATAAGCTCCAACCACATTCATCCAATTGCCTACTGCATATTTCCACTTACACATCTCACAGGAACTTACAATGTGTCTCAAACTAAATTTATTATTTGTTCTACCCCAAACCAGCTTTATTGCCAGCATCAGAGATGCCCTAATTTCAAAACAGAATGTGTGCCTTATTCGTGATTGTATCCGTTTAATATTCCACATAAAGCAATCGGTATTTTCTGATATTTCTCTATCATTAACAAGATATATCTTGAACGTTTTCTCTTCCATTTATCTTTGATTAGCACATCCCTGGTCTTTCTTTTAAGGATACCTACAACTACACCCTACTTATTTTCTTGGTTTTTATTTTAGTCTTCCAATAAAATTTATCTGTAAGCTAAAGAAAGTGGATAAATTTTAGTTCACCTCTTCTACCTTTTGTGTTCAATTTACATTTATAAATCAATGTGATAACATTCACATTCCCCGATTGTTCTGCCTTTGTGACATTTTCATCTGTTAGCACTGCTTCCCTCTCTCAGAATATATAATTTGTCTGATACCAACTATGTGGAATTCCCGGCAGTCTCCTGGTTTCTCTGAATTTCTAGCCTTTACCTCCAACAGATTTACCTGCCTGATATGCCCATGAATTTCCAACACAATTATTTTTCAGCATCAAATGACTTTTAATTTATCTGAAAAATCTTTCCTGAAAATTGAGATGGATCGACTTCTATAGAACCCTGTGTTTATTCCATACATGAGTAGTTTTCCTCCATGGGTTTGGTCTATTTTCCTATACCTGTGGATGCTTTATGGTCTTATCCAGGAAATAAAATCTTTTAGCTGGATATTTTGATTTTAGTAACAAATTAATTTACCCACAAACACATACACACACACACGCACACACAAAAAAAAAAAAAC